ATGCTTCCCAAAATCCACAAAGCAGGTAATCCTGGAAGACCCATAATTACAGGAATGGGAACTCTCACAGAACAGATTTCAGTACTGGTAGAAAATACCTCTAGTCTTCATAAAATACACAACTGACTTCCTTAACAAATCAGGCAAATCACCAATCTCCCTGCTAACACCATCCATGTAACCATGGATGTGGAATATCTGTACAGCAACATTCCACATACAGATGACATCAATGCTTGCTTCCATTTCCTCTCTTATGCCGATAACCAAAAACACTGGCCCTATTCATCTTCACACATAATTATTTCAGATTTAACAATGAGGTTAACCTACAAACCATGGGCACTGCTATGGGCACTAAGATGGCAGCCCAATATGCTAATCTGTTTATGGCAGATCTTGAACAGAGATTCCTAGAAATACAGCACACCAAACCATACAAATATTATTGCTATATCGATGATATCTTCATATTTTGGACTAAAAGCGAAGAAAAACTGATACAATTCCATGACTCTTTTAAATCATTTCATCCATCAATCAAACTAAAAATTGAATATTCCACTAGATCTGTGAATTTTCTGGACACCACTGTGACATGTATCAATAGCACAATCCACACCTCGGTTTACAGAAAACCCACAGACAGGTACAGTGACCTTCACAGCTCCAGCTTCCACCCCTTCCATACTAAACAGAGCATCATCGACAGACAAACCACTAGGTACCATCGCATATGCTCTGATCCTAATGACCGTAATTCCCATCTAAATGTACTCTCCCAATCTATGAGACAGAAAGTCTACAAACCAAAGACTTCTAACAAACAAATCAACTCTGCTGTAAAAACACCACGCATGCGCCTGCTACAGTACAGAGAGAAAAGACTATATCTACATAAGTACCACTTGTGGTCATCTACAACCCAGCTTTTGAGGAAATATGGAAAATCATTAAAGACCTACAACCAATGTTAACAGAAGATGAGACTCTGAAAAACATTTTCTCTGAAACACCCATTTTGGCATTCAGACAACCACCAAAGCTCCAACAAAAATTAATCAACAGGAAGCTACCCACTGATGGGAAGAATAAAGAAAACGGGACCAGTCAATGCAAAAAACCTCGCTGCAAACTGTGCAAGCACATATGCACAGACAACACAGCCACACACAACAATAAAACCTACAGCATTAAAGGATTGTACTCCTGCACATCCAGCAATGTGGTATACACGATTCACTGCACCAAATGCCACCTAGGATGCTACATTGGGGAAACCACCCAGCCATTAAATGGCAGAATGAATATGCACAGACACTCCATTAAACATCACAATGAAGAATCCTACTGCACTCCTGTGTGGCACCACTTTACCCAGGAGGCCACTCAATGAAGGACCTAAAAATCAAAGTACTGAAAGGGGTGTGGCGAAACCAGCCTCGCCACGTGTCCTTGGAGGGGGCTGCTTGCCCGCCTCTTGCCTTTGGACTATGGACCAGACTTTATGTGAAGGTATTAACCCAGATAGCTATGCCATGGAGCCCATTTGTGTAGTTAAAGACTTCGGCTCCATGGCAATTGAACTGTGTGAATAGGATCTGAGCGCTATTTGGTAGTTTTGTGCGCTCAGATCCCAGCTATCTGGGGATATGTGACATGTCTGTGTTTTATGTATAAAATGTGACTTTGTGTATTTTATAATATTTTAATGCTTTGTGCAACCATGTGCATAATGGAGTCTTGTGTCTGTCCTGGGAGATAATTGAATTACTTCTCAATTCAATCTCCAGGATAGAAGACTCTGAAACTGGTTTGGGCCGGAAAGCCATGCTTCATTTAGTCACAAAGGACTTTCCCTTAACTTTTGAACCCCTGGTCTGATTCGTGCCATTTTTTAATATGTTGTTCCCCTGAATGGATTGATTATGAAAATGTATGTTTTATGTTTGTGACATGTATATTTTAGAAGTTTCTGTTTTAACCCTCAAAGTGAAGTGTCGTCTCATTATTGGAGGAAGGATTTATTGTATGCTGTTCCAGTTTGACTGCTAGGAGAGTAAACCTATTCGTATGGTTCCTATTCAACTGTCTACAGCATTCAATGCTTGAGAGAAGGTATACGCTTCTCTGGTTCGGTGATTGTGGTGTCTGCTGCAGTGCTTGGAGTCCTCAGGAAGCGCTAGGAGCATCCTTCAACGGAGGTACCCAGTCGGGGTGCCAGGCGATCCGTTACATTGGTGGCAAGCGGTGGGATGGCGTCCTAGTGCGAGGTAAAGCAGCTCAGAGACACAGTTTGTTTGGATTTACAAATTGAAGGCTACGCTAGTGTTTATACAGCGTCCCTGTCTATGTAAAGATTTGGGAAAATGGGGTTCGTGGATCCTTGGGCAACACGCACACCTGAGGAAGAGAGTGAATTGGAATGGAGAGATATTGCCCGGCAAGAACTATGGTACGATGCCCTGGAGGAAGTCCAGTATCAACGGCAGCAGCGCCTTCCTGGTGTCGCATACCAGTTGGAGGAACAAATGGCCTGGCGGATGCCGCTTCTGGGAGACCAACCCGGAGGGCAGCAGGTCAGACAACTTGAGTACCTCGTGGAAAGGGAACTGAGCCTTGACGCCTCATACCGGGCACTGTGGTGGTGCACTGTCCAGCCAGAGACGTGGAGGGCAGAGGGCATCCAGCCAGAGGGGGAGAACTACACTAGCCCTGGCCTGTTGTGGAAGGCCTTAGCAGAAGACGTCGACTTTGGCAGTCCAGCAGAGTCACGGTACTGGGCTATCTTTTATTACCGGGGTGAGATGGTACAGGGCCCGAGATCTATGGGACTGGGACAAGACCTCCACCGTTTGGCTGCCATGGAACGAGAGCTAGAGATGGACTATATGGAACTACTGAACTCATGTCAGCCGCAGAGCATAGGCGCAGAACAGGAAAACTGGGTGGCGGACCCAGACCTGCCAACCTACAGCTGGGAAAACGCAGCCGAGGTCCCCACTGCTTCACTACCAGTTGCAGAAGTAGGGGACCTCATAGACTGGTCCTGGGAAGACCCACCGATGGCAGGTAGAGATGGGACGGCTGTCTCTCTACCGGCCCTACAGGGATGCTGGGCAGTCAGCCCAGATCCCCAGCGGCAGTATGTAACCCAGGGAGCTGAAGGTGTCGTCCTTCCTCCCCAGCGGCAGTGTGTACCCCAGGGAGCAGAAGGTGCTGTCCTTCCTCCCCAGCGGCAGTGTGTATCCCAGGGAGCTGAAGGTGTCATCCTTCCTCCCCAGCGGCAGTGTGTACCCCAGGGAGCAGAAGGTGCCGTCCTCCCTCCCCAGCGGCAGTGTGTATCCCAGGGAGCAGAAGGTGCCGTCCTTCCTCCCCAGCGGCAGTGTGTATCCCAGGGAGCCAAAGGTGTCGTCCTTCCTCCCCAGCAGCAGTGTGTACCCCAGGGAGCAGAAGGTGCCGTCCTTCCTCCCCAGCGGCAGTGTGTACCCCAGGGAGCAGAAGGTGCCGTCCTTCCTCCCCAGCGGCAGTGTGTACCCCAGGGAGCAGAAGGTGCCATCCTTCCTCCCCAGCGGCAGTGTGTACCCCAGGAAGCAGAGACCGTCTGTCTCGCACCCCAGCCGCAGGACAAAATATTGAAAGGGGAGACAGTTGGTCCCCCTCTCCACCAGCAAAGAGAGTGTCAGGGAGAGGAGCAGGTTACCCCCTCTCCCCAGCGGCAGTCTACAGTTCAGAGAGAGGAGCTTGTTACACCCTCTCTCCAGCGGCAGCCTAACCCACCAAGGGGAGATGTTAAGCCCCACAACTATGCAGATGGGACCGTAGTCTCTACACTTGCAGCACCAGGGGTGGGGACGGTCGGTCCTGTCCCCCAGCCACAGATCAGTGTATCCAGAGGGGAGACAGTCTGTCTCCCCCTCCCACAACCAGGCTCCAACCAGGCTACTTCAGTGGTAGCGTTGGCACCCGGGCAGAGTACCGCTGGTCTCTGCCCACTCAGCAACCCACCAAGGCAGTCTACCAGACCCCCGCACAGCCGTGGTGAGGCACCTGGACATGGACAAGTTGCTATTTTATCCAGGTGTAGTAACCAGTTATTGTGGGTGGGCTGCATTGCTGTTTGTGCTTCGTGGGTGGGTTGCTGGACTAACCAGGGCACTGACCGGCAGGAGGTCAGATACCCTGTTAGTCTGGATGGTAAAGGGGAGAAATGTGGCGAAACCGGCCTCGCCACGTGTCCTTGGAGGGGGCTGCTTGCCCGCCTCTTGCCTTTGGACTATGGACCAGACTTTATGTGAAGGTATTAACCCAGATAGCTATGCCATGGAGCCCATTCGTGTAGTTAAAGACTTCGGCTCCATGGCAATTGAACTGTGTGAATAGGATCTGAGCGCTATTCGGTAGTTTTGTGCGCTCAGATCCCAGCTATCTGGGGATATGTGACATGTCTGTGTTTTATGTATAAAAGGTGACTTTATGTATTTTAAAGTGTTTTGTGTCTTTTTGCAACCATGTGCTTAATGGAGTCTTGTGTCTGTCCTGGGAGATAATTGAATTACAGTATATACTCGAGTATAAGTCTAGTTTTTCAGCAAATTTTTTGTGCTTAAAAACCCCCACTCGACTTATACTCGAGTCACTGTCTGTATTATGGCAACTTAGAGAGCCGCGGCCGTCAGAGCCATGGCAACGATCCTGCGGCAACCAGACTGCGAGACTTACAGTGGAGCTGACCGGAACGGAGCAGAAGGGAGTTGACACGAGCTGCAGGAAAGGTAAGTAAATGCTTCCTGCCGGCCCCCCACTTCACAGCCCATGCCACTGGACCACCAGGGATTAAGATAGCCCCCCTCCATGACCAGTTAACAAGCAGGGAGGGGGGACAAAAAAAAATTAAAATAATAATAAAAAATAATAATATAAAAAAAAAAAATGTAAATAATAAAAATGCCCTCCCCCCACCCAGTTCACACACACTACACAAACACACACTCTGCATTATATACACACTCTGCATTATATACACAGAGTGTGTGTATATAATGCACACTCTGTGTATATAATGCAGAGTGTGTGTTTGTATGAGTGTGTGTGTGTATATAATGCAGAGTGTGTGTTTGTATGAGTGTGTGTGTTTGTATGAGTGTGTGTGTGTATATAATGCAGAGTGTGTGTTTGTATAAGTGTGTGTGTTTAATGCAGAGTGTGTGTTTGTATGAGTGTGTGTGTATATAATTATAAAAATCACAGAATTTCATAGCCCCAAGTTTTACCCTCGACTTATCCACGAGGCATAGCATATTTCACAATTGTTGGTCACAAAACTGCACTCGACTTATACATGAGATCGACTTATACACGAGTATATACGGTACTTATCTCCAGGATAGAAGACTCTGAAACTGGTTTGGGCCAGAAAGCCATGCTTCATTTAGTCACAAAGGACTTTCCCTTAACTTTTGAACCCCTGGTCTGATTCGTGCCATTTTTTAATATGTTGTTCCCCTGAATGGATTGATTATGAAAATGTATGTTTTATGTTTGTGACATGTATATTTTAGAAGTTCCTGTTTTAACCCTCAAAGTGAAGTGTCGTCTCATTATTGGAGGAAGGATTTATTGTATGCTGTTCCAGTTTGACTGCTAGGAGAGTAAACCTATTCGTATGGTTCCTATTCAACTGTCTACAGCATTCATATGCTTGAGAGAAGGTATACGCTTCTCTGGTTCGGTGATTGTGGTGTCTGCTGCAGTGCTTGGAGTCCTCAGGAAGCGCTAGGAGCATCCTTCAACGGAGGTACCCAGTTGGGGTGCCAGGCGATCCGTTACAAGGGGGTTTTAAAAATACCCAAGAAAGAAACATTTTTGAAGCCAGGATAATCCAATTATTTAACAGCAAGAATAGAGCACTAAATATTGATTTGGGTTTACCATCCCACTACCAACACTTTATATTAACACTCCCCCTGCATTATCTTACTGTTCTGTCATATGTATCAACATTAAAATGTATTCCAATGATATGTTTATTCTATCAATATACAAAGTACTATGTGTAGACCTATGCTTTCCCATACTCTTATGCATGTATGCTTATATATGTGACTGTGCATTTATATTTGTGTATGAGTTCATGTGCATGTATGTATATGTGTTTGTGTGTATGTATTCATGTGTTTATGTGTATGCATATATATATTTGTGTGTGTGTGTGTGTATCTATAAAGCGCTTCAGACAAGGTTTTTTGCCTTCTTTTGTATCAACAGCAAAAACATATGTGAGGAAGGCTGAACTTGATGAACGCAAGTCTCTTTTCAGCTATGTAACTATGTAACTACGTATATACGTGCATACATGTATGTATATGTGAATGGGTGTATGTGTACATATACATATATATTGGTCTATGTATGTGTAGGCACATTTGTATATGTGTAGGTACATGTATTGGTGCTTGTGTGTGGATGTATGTGTAGGTGTACATATATTTGGGCATTTGGTTGTATTTATATGTTTATTGTTGTATTTACTTGTGTATATTGTGTATGTACTTGTGTATTCTTGTACATGTACATGTGCATGAGTGTGTGAGTGTGTGTGTGTGTGAATGCTGGAAATAGGCCTTCATTCATATCCTGTAACACTTGGATGGGAATTAATGCATTTTTTTTTAAAGGAATTATTTTATTTTTACTCTCCCCTTCTAGCACCATCTTCTGCATTGCTTGCTTGGTTGTTGTTTTTTTTATTTATTTTTATTTTCTCTCCCCCCTTACTCTGTGATCTTCACACAAGACATTTACGACCCTCTGCAAGAAAGGCCAACCCCTGGAGTGGATAAGGAGGGTGGAGCATGACTGCTTCCCGGAGAGGTTGGCATGGCAACAAGGGATAAAATGTTGGAGATGCACCTGGACCAGGGACACTGGGAAAAGACTTACCAGACCACTGGAGAGCATGCTGAGGCAACCTGGCAGTACTATTTCCCGCCCACCCTCCCTGGGTTGGTGTGAAAAAGGTATATGTTATTACTGCATGAGATGTGTTTGGTGTTGTTTCTTTCTGTATATTTTGTCACAGCTGTGGTTTGTCCTTCACCAGCAAGTGGAACTGAGATCATTACCTGGAAAGGCTTGGGGAGTCGCAGCCTTGTCTGGTTGAGGATGGACTTCAGGCTGAAGAGGCTCGAGAAGAATAAAGTTATGGTTAACTGTCTGCTGGGAAAATCCAGCAGCTGACAGTTGTTTATGTTATGCTGGCTTGCTAATAAAAGCTGTGGCCGTTGCCCTTACCCACAATTTGGTTGTCTGTGAGTTATTGTAGGGGAAGGGTAACGGAAGGAACAAAGGGAGAGGGTCAGCAGTCATGGTGTCTATTTTCTATCAAACCTGTGTCTTATCTGAACTCATGTCGCTGTAACCCCTGTATCACAACTCAACTTTTAATTCTACGTGTCGTCTTGCTCAGAAATGCTTTAGACTTGAGAAAGGGAGGTTCTCCCGAAAGCTTGTCATTAAAAAATTCTGTTAGTCCAGTACAAAAGGTATCACAAGTTACAAATGTATCTGTTTTTTACATAAGTATTGTGCAGTTAGAATAGTTACGGTAATTTAGTGTTAATGTGTTAATGTTAATGTGCCTTCATAGCAGTTTTGGAAAAAGAGCATTTTGGCGAGGTTGAGTTACTTAAAAGAAAGAAACTTGACATTGGGGAAAGTTAGGTACTAAGGAGAGTTGAAAATAGACGTTAAATTGGGTAGGAATGTGGCTGCAAAGGTGAGCTAGGCAACATAGCTATATGGGAAATATAGGAAAAGTAGCTGAGAGACCCAGTAGCAGTCACAAGTGGAAAAACATAGGGGCAGATAGACATAGAGTTACGGGGAGTACACATTTGTACAAATAATGCTAAACAAAGGTAAAGTAAGTAATAACTACCTGGATTACTCTTCATCACCACATATGTGTCTGAATCGCTAGAGTCATTAAATATTTCCAGATCCACATAAGGAGGACGTGCAGGTTTTTCTGGTCTTGTCCCAAGTACAGCTTTACTTGGCAAATGTTTTAGCTTTGGTACAATTTTGCATTTATCAAGTTCGGGTTGGTTATGATTTTTTGGAAGTTGAGTTGGAAGTTGGAAGTTTGTCTTCAAAACATCGGTAGAAGGTTTTTTAACCAACGGTTTAATGGGTAAAGAAGGTTTGTTTACAACATTTTCCGGACGATTTTCCCCTGGTGCTCTGTTATGTATTGTGGAGGTAGTTCGTGATATAGATCTTTGGCTCCCTGCATTTTTCAAATGTTCTCGGTATGGTAACACTGGCAAATTTGAAGAAGATAAGGCTTTTGGGATTGGTCTTTTAATGTATCGGTCACCTGAAGGCTGAATATTTGGTTTGACTGGTACAGCAGGCTTCAGTCCAGGTAATGGTTTTGTTAATTTTTGGTTTTCAGTTACTGCTTCAAATCTTGAACGTATGTTTTTAAATCCTTCAGTTTCTGCCTGTGAAAATTAAAATGCATTAATGTATATTGTGCTTAATGTACGTTAATGAGACAAATACAATATAAAAGTGATATTTTAATTAACTATATTATTCTATGACTCATATTGAAATCGGAGGTTTGTGTCATGGGTGGTATTAGTATATTAGAGCTCAAGGGGTCACAGACCTATGCAAACAAGATTTATGCTTACCATGTTACATCACTATCATACATTAAGAATACAAATAAAATAAATACAGCGGAACACGTCTGCATTTTTCCGTAATATCATTCTTTAAAAAATGGAACCCAATAATACATTGTATATTCACTAGAGTATTACCATTGATTCATAAAGAGGCAAAATTATATTTCCATACTATAAAAAGAAGAAATGGTAGTATCTTACTGGCCTTTGAAGCAGAGTACTCGTGTTGCGCATTGTTCCCTAGTCTTTTATCTATAATTACTGATGTCTTTTTTTTTTGGCAGCACAACCTCATTTGGAATATATGTTGCATATTTAGTGCATATCCAAAAATTCACATTATTACATTTGTTTACACTGAATTTGATCTGCCACTTGTCTTCCTAGTTCCCTTTATTTATTTAAATCCTTCAGTCATAATAAGAATAAGTAACCTAGGGTTCCACTCTTTATGTTGTGAGGTGTGATAAAAGAGATGAAAAGATAACATTTTGACTGTTTCACTGTTCTATTGCTATTGTAATAATAGTTTATTGCATGCGTTGATTAATTTATGACATTTATTTTTCCTCTGTTAATCTCACTACCCAATTGCTTGAGATAATGTTTATTAAACGCAACAGACTTGTATTTAATGTGGATTTTATTAGCTGGTCTGGTGAAAAGCAGGAGGAGAGGTTAAAGGTTGCTACCTACAAGCAAAATTATTTACTTTTGTAATAGGTGAATGCTATTACAAACAACCAGCAGACAAATAGTAAAACAAAAAAAAACTAAATAAATAAAACAATCGGACTCCCATTAAACTAAACAGGATGGACTTTCTGATATAAGGGTGAGATAGTAAAAGGAATACTCTGGTCTCCAATACCATGATTGGTTCACCGGTTGTCCTTCCTTGCCCCACTTTTGGTAGCGACTAACCACTGCATACCAGGAGCACAAGAGTAACGTCTAACCATCATTATTTGGCCCTTGTCAAAGTCACTCTTTCTCGCTTGCCCATTATTCCTGCTTCTAACATATGAAATTGAAGAACTGACTGCTCACTTGCTGCCCAATATATCCCTCCCACTGACAGGTGCTACTGTAATTATATATTCAATGTTAGTTACTTCACCTGTCAGTTTATTTTGTTCTTTTCATTGAAAAATGTGAAAAGCTATGTAATTATGTTGCACTAAACATTATATTTGTATTCATATTGGCATCTGGACAAAGTCAAGGAATATTGAATAATATTGTATAATATTGTATAATATTTTTCATAATTAGAATAACTTGGACAACCCCTCAAGGGTAGGAAGGAAGGAAGGAAGAAGGAAGCACAAAAAGGAGAAGAAGAAGAAAATAAAAACTGTTGGTGGTTTTAATGTTGTG